ATATATATATATTATTTTGAAATGGAGTACTAAATGTAAATTCACATATAGATTTGAAAAGAAAACCAATTACGTATATCAAACTCAATTTGAAAAAAACAAAAAAGAAGAAATAACTATAAATATTTGTTTAAAAAAATAGAAAATTATCAATAAATAATCACAATTATGAGTCATTTATTTGATAGAATATTAGTGTAACATAATTACATTTTTATATAATAGGAATACAAACAAAATATAACACAAAATCAAATAGATACAAATATTAAAATAATTATTAACTAAAAAACACCTCATAAAAACTTATTATATTCAAGAAATGAAGATAATTTAACTATTTTTATTAGTTTTTTCTTTCTGTTTGATAACCAAACCTAATTATATTGTTTTAGGCTAGAGATGGTGATATAAATATTTGAAAAATATAAATATTTTAAATATAATTTATTAAATATCCTTAAACTAAAAAAATTGAAGTGTAAATTAATGAGTAATGCTACACATATGATAAACATTGTACAACAATTTGCGATAAAGAGAAATAGATATAAAAATGATTTTATACAAGTTGTTATATAATTTTTGTTATACGTGTAATATTATTCTAAATAAATATAATAATTTATAATGATTTTTGAGGTGGTTGAATCACAAGACATCTTGTATGACGACCACCACATTGCCAAGGGCCAAACATGGTTTCACATTTATTTGATTTCATGTTTTATCATTACCTTGATCTTCCATTTCCTTTGTTATTTTATCATTTTGCTATTTTCTTTGCTTCTTGCTTACAAGTTATAAGCAAGGTTGTAATTTGTGGACACGGGTATAGCCTTTATAAGTTTATTCGAAGCATAATGCTGCAAGACAAAATTGACACATCATATGCATCTAAATGCTGAATTGCTTTGTCACTGCAAGTTGCAACTCCTTGATCTTGTGTTACCATAAATCATAAAAGCATAGGAAGAGAAATACCAGGAAGTAAATTAAATTGAATCTGAATGAAGGGGGATTCTATTTAACTTTATACATCTCAAGTAAACAACATCATGCATTCATGCCAATAACCCTGCATATGCAGATTACATATAATTCAAATTTTTCCCATGAAAATATTTATCCTAGTTATAACATTTTCCAAAGAATCTTGTTTTCTATCTAATAGAATAGTCAGTGTAATCACAATTAATTTAGGAAAGAAAAATGATAATTATCATCTTCATTCACTACTTGCTGCTAAGCAAGATTTTAAATTGTGGTCACCATCTTGGTTTCGTCACGATTCTTGATATCGTAGAAAATTGCAGATAAATGCAGCCAATGTGCCACAATTGCATCAGCGAAGACTCCAAAAACCATGACATTGCGGCCAAAATCACGCTTGCATTCCCTTTTTAAAACCTCGCTGGTAACTGGTAAGTTATCATAATCATGAGACCTACTTGCATGTAACTGTATATGTTGTCACTGCTGATGATCATACTTTATAAACAATTTACATTTAATCTGATGATTCTTTTGTGGATATTTGGAGCTGTAACTCACCTCTGGAGCCAGAGTTAGAGGCTGATGTACTACAAGAAACTGATACATAAACCCCAGTAGGCCTCACTCCTGGTAATTCCATTAAAGATTCATTTGGATTCTGAAGAATGTTCACCACTTTTCTCATCCTTGGCCTGAACATGGAATCAGGATGCAAGCATGCCAATCCAACCATCAATGCCCTTTTAGCTTCTTCCTCATCAAATTCGTCTTCTAGCCTTTTGTCAACACACTGCACCAATGCATTTTGTGCATGCAAATTCCACACACAGTCCACAAAACTGTTCCCTTGCTTAATCCAGTTTAACCTTTTCCCACATATGACTTCAAGCACTACCATGCCAAAGCTATACACATCTGATTCAGGTGTGGCTTTCCCTGTAAAGCTTAGCTCAGGAGCCAAATATCCTAGAGTTCCATTAAGATTTGTAGTCACTGAACCTTCATTTTTGAGTAACCTTGCTAGCCCAAAATCTCCTAAATGAGCATTGTGATTAGAGTCCAGCATGACATTGTTAGGCTTAACGTCTCTGTGAACAACAGGGCTTCCACACTCTTCATGAAGGTAAAGCAATGCTGATGCCAATCCTGTCAAGATCTTGTGCCTGGTTTGCCAGTTCAGATTGCCCTTTCCTATGAAGTGATCAAGGCTTCCATTTTGCATGTAATCATAAACCAAGAGAAGATTCTTGCCTTCACTGCACCAGCCTTGGAGCTTCACTAAGTTTTTGTGCCTAAGACGCCCTATGGTACAGATTTCAGCTAAGAACTCTCTTTCACCTGTGTACACAACCAAATAAACAAGGGAAAACAAAATGGTCAAAAATAGAGGAAAGCCTAAATCCTAGGGAGATTATGGAAGATGTGACAAATTAAATAAGGTGCAAGTAAAGAAGTACTTTCTATAAGTTTAAGATGAGTGCTAATATTACACTCTCAATAATCTATTGTTTCTAACACTCTTAATTATTGATTAAAATTTATTTGAAGCTACAAAATTTTGAGAAAAACTTGTGAAACCCACAAAATTTTGAGATTTATTGTTAACATGTTTAAAATAATATTAGGATGTCACTAAAGAGTCTGGTAAAGAGTAGATTGTTAACATTTAGGTTGCCAAAATGGATTCAAGTCACTTGTTCCCTTTGTATGTACCATTCACTGTCCCAATAACTATATAATGACATATTACTAAAACAAATTTTTAGTCTTTCAAATGGTAACTCTCTCTTGCAGTTACTAGAATCCTTTGGTTAATGTTTGTATTTACCAAACATACCTTGCTTAGAAGTTGTTGAAATCTTCTTTACTGCCACAGTTTTTCCAGAGTCTAATATGACGCCTTTGTAAACACTACCAAGTGCACCTCTGCCTGCTACAATTTTTCCTGAGTCAAATATGATGCCCTTATAAACACTACCAAATGCACCTCTTCCCAAAAGATTTTCCTTGCTGAAGTTGCATGTTGCCTTTGTTAGTTGCTTGTAAGTGAACACCTTGGGGATATCTGCAGCCTTCTTTGATAGGCTTTCTATATCCTCCTTCTTGTTACCCTTCACATGTCTTTTCCTCCAAACCATCAAAATAACAGAAAGTAAGCACACTGACACAAAAACTGGCATGACAATTATCAACATGACCTTCATGGTGCCATCTTCATTCTGTTCAACAGAAACAATAGGCACTGGCACTGATGTGAATACCCAATTGAGGACCCGGTGGCTTTCAGGAAAAGTGTTGCCTGTGGAGGCTGTGAAACCTACATAAATGGAGCTTGGAATTATCTCAGATAGGTTAATTGAATAGTTTAGGACACTCTTCAATTGGCTTTCAGAGTATCCTAACGAGACAAACATCATTTTACTCCATCCATCATAGTCAACTTTGACCATAATGTCCCTTCCACTTTTGAGGTCAATGCCAGTGCTATTGAGACTCTCAGATGCAAGTGGATTTGTGATGCTGGTTGTGACTATCCCAATGTGGTTTCCATCTAGATCAAAATCACTCATGAAAGTGTCCATCTCCACAGCTATTTGTCGAAAAACTCCACCTGCACAACATCATTTTTTGTTTAGACTTTAGACTTAAGCGTTTTGTTTTGTTTCCAGCACAATTAATGAATGAAGAGTCATGACAACTTAAGTTCGTTCATAGAAGTGATAGAACCATGGCGATAGTATTCACCTTGCTGAAGTATTAGGAATCATTGCAAAATACTAAAAGAATTATCTTATTTTTGGTCATGTGTAACACTAGATGATTTCTAGTTGAAATTTTGAATTCGAAAAAAGAAAAAAAAACCCTGTGAGATTCTTTTATTTGGTTTTTGGAATGCTCTTACTTGTCTGATCATATGTGCATATATGTGTGTGTTTGCAATATCTTTGCAACTCACAAATTCAAAATCCATAAATAGTGTAACACACCAAAGAGGAAAACCAAAATTCCACAATTTTTACCACATTTTCATTTTATATAAAAAAAAAAAAAAAAAAAACCATGTATGCTGAAATACTATCTGCTTTTTTTTTTTTCCAAATCTTTCAATTTTTAAGTCAAGGGTTGATTAGATATTTTTTTAAAGGAGTTATATACCAACATAACTGTGGTTTTAACTATTCAAAACATAGGAAAACATCATGTGGCCAGAAACAGAGAACTCAAAAGCAATATATTTAACAAAAATAATTAATATATTATAGTATGTTTACCTTGTGTAGACCGACCAAACATGCCAAGATATGAGCCATAGCTATCATTTGGTGAGGGCCTATTATCTTGTGCAAACACTAGTGCCATTCCATCCCCAGAGCTGGTTGAGTTTTCTGAAAAAGGAGTGATTCTAATAGTGAATGTGGTAGAGATAGTTGCTGGCCAAACATTCACAGGAAGAGGGTACAAAACCCTTCCAACACTGTTGGTGGTGGAAGATGATGTTGAACTTGAATTGCTGTTCTTTTGTTGTGGCTCTGGGGTGAGACTCAAATACCCATTTCCTGCAGTGGCTGAACCCAAGCAAAGCAACTCACCATTGGTGCAACTTTCAGGAGTGAAAGTGACAAATGAGAAAGTGTTGGCGTTGGAGCTTGCACCAGTTTGAGGTTGGATTAGCAAGTTGGAGAGCAAAAAAAGCACGATGATCATGAACATGTTTGTTATTATGTTGTGCAAGAAGAACTAGAACTTTGAAGAGGAGTTTACTTGGTCCATGTTTGGCATGTGCATGTAGATATATATATTGTGGGGTGGCAATTTTTTTTGTGTTTTGAATGTTGTGTTGTGTTGTTGTAAGGATTATGGATGAGCACCGACAGAGTAGAACTCTGAGTTCTACATGACACGGGTTGACTTGAGGATCGAAAAATGCTTTTTGTTGAAGTTTTTGGGAGGTTGGTGAATGGGGTCTTCACAAGAGACAATGGTGTATGCAAATGTGAGAAAGGACAAGGAGCTTAGATACTCCATGCAAACTTACACCTTTTTTGTATTCTTCGTTGTGTAAAATTTGACCCTTAATTGTTTTTCAACCCAACAAAAGCACCCAAACAAGAGGTCCCGTTGGATCCTTTTCTATACTAGGGAAAAATTATGGGTGACTTTAGAATCACGTATGAAGGAAGAAAAATGAATAGATAAAAAAAAAATGAAGAGTGGATCGATATATATGAAAAAAATATTAATTTTGAAGACAATTGTATATTGAATATCAAACCTACAGCCACCCCAAAAATGTTTAGTTTATTCTGTATTTATATTACAAAACACAATTTCACCCTCTGTTTCGCAAAACTAACTAAACAATCATCACAACCAATCAAAATCTCTTTTAACCCACTCCCCATTCTTCTCTTCCACACATATTACAGTTACTTTTTTTATAATAAAAAACTATAATAAGAAAATCGTTATTGTCTAGTTTAACAATATCTACTTTTTAGTTTTTTTTTTTTGGTAGAATATCTACTTTTTAGTTTAAAAAAACTTTAACTTTACATATTAAAGAAAAATTTAAATTTTTTTAAAAAAAACTATACAAATTACAAAAATAAATCCTTAAATAAAAAGATATAACCAAAATATCTTTATTTTATATATTCACTTTTATATATATATATATATATATATATAAAATATATAATATATTATATATATATATATATA